CTCAATTTTTTCGAACCGAATACCTTCTCTTATATATTTTTACTTTTTCTAATTACCTTTTCTTAGGCTTTATAACTACAGTTTATTTTTGAAATTTTGTAGTGTAATAGAAAGGTTCACAAAAAATTGCAACATGGTTTTTGAAATCTGTGTTATAATATTTTATAGAGAGATAAATAAATATACGTCCTTGGTGCGGTATAAGTAAAATTGTATATTTGTATTGTATATATCCGAATTTGCAATTATTTATTTTTAATTTTGTATCACAATTTTCAAATGTCGATATTTCAGTTTTTTCAAGTATAACACCGGTGTCGGATTGACGATTTGGTGGACCCCGGAAATTTGTTTAAATTTTATTATTAGTATTAATATTATTACTATTATTTTGAGTTTGGCCAGCGACATTGGCGTCTTGAAAAAATTGGTGGAAGGTTATTCCACAGAACTTTCCTCGCCCCTGAAGTACAATAAATCATATCCAGCTTTTTCGAAAAATTACAAAATTTGATTTTGTAAATATTATAATTTTTTTAAACTATTTTAACTTTTAAGATTGTATACATGTCTTATTTTAACTTATAGGTGTTATAGGTTAAAATAAGATATGCATACAATGGTAAAAGTAAATGTGAGCCGTTCCTGATTTAATAAATGAAACAAATTGATTCATTCATTAATAAATTTTTGAGTCACCTGTGATCAATGCCTGAATACGCAATTCTAAATAAATTAGAACGATGAGTGAGTGAGTGAGTGAGTACAAAATGTAATATTCAAACAAATAATCAACTGGAAAACCTGTTTTCTCAGTGTCTCATTACATGCGCAATTCGAGTGTTTATGTTTAGACTTCGAAAGAATTCATTGTTGGTGCGTTTCAATGACAAAACAAGAAATTATTTTTTTTTGTTTTTGTTTCCTCAAAAGAGAGCAGAGAATAAATTTCATTAACTAAACTACAATTAAGCAAAACGATCCGAAAATGGAGCATGCTATGCGTATGCTTTAAGAGAGTTTTTCCATAACAAAAATTACAACTTACTAGTCACAAATTTGGGTCAAAAGTGCTACCCGCATGCCCGCTTGCCGATATAGAAGCCACCGGTCCACTTAGAATTACTCCTGTTAGTGGTAAAATGTTATATACTGTATAAATTTTTTGTGAAAATTTGGCCGTTTAAGGAAAAAAACTTAAAACGGATTCGTACATCACAAGTACAGAAGTACCTATATATGTTACAGTTAAAACCCGTTTTCAGTTAAAATGCCTTTGTTACAACTAGAATTTACTGGCATTAAAAAAAAAACTAGTTAAAACTAGTTCTAAGCAGACACAGTGCGTTTTACTTTTTATTTTTGTTTGTTTTCCATTAAGATTTTAATTACTTTAAATTAACACCTATTGTCGCCATGGTACTAATGTTTTGTCTGGTAAGAACTAGTTTTAGCTGATGACAGCAGTAAATTCTAGTTGTAACAGTCATTTGGTAAAAACTAGTTTTAACTAGAAAAAACGCGTTTTAACTGTAACATATATAACATTACTTCATTTTATTTTAGAATCGTTTGCAATGACGTCATCATGTTGGTGATGATAATATGAATACAAAATTTGACTACAATCGGTCCAGTAGTTTCGGAGATTATCTGTCTAATAAAAATGGACACAGACAGGCAAACAGACGACAGACAGACGGTAACGGGAGAACAATTTTTTCGTATTCTAGGGGTCATGAATCTTGAGAAAACATGAAACTGGCAAGTCGCTCGTTGGACTCGATTACTATACTTCTTTAGCTTAGGCTCGGGAAGTAAAAATATGTTGTTTTTGGAACTTTTAACGACGCTACCAAGACAAACAAAGCTAGAAAAGAAGATAGTCTTATTTAATAATTACGTATGTATGTAGTTTTTATGCGTCTGTTACATTTTTTGGAAAATTTATATGTATATTAGGAATATCGTGCAAAAATTTGGCTAATCATTCCCACCAATGACGTCCTCTAAAAATTTGTGTTAGTCAACGCCATTTAAATTTTATAAAATAACATCCTCTCGTACTTGTGGTTCATGAATTTGCTTTGAGTTTTTACCTTAAGCATCCAAATTTTCGCAAAAATCCCAATTGTATAATCCAAAAATTAAAAAAAACTATTTTTTTTCTTAAACTATGACTACAACTCATATTATTTATATTTTTTAATTTATAGAAATTTTCGAAAATTTTATAATTTTAGAGAAAACGGGATTTGTTGTACTTCAGACACGAGGGAAATTCTGTGGAAATAACCTTAAACCAATTTTTTGTTTTCATCTTTTTTTGTTTAGTATGCTCTATATTTAACACACAGACGTATTTAGGAAAAGAGAATGAAAAATAGAGTAAAACGCGATAAGAAAATACAGGGTGTATGAAATATCGATATTTGGAAATCGTAAAGTTTTAGAATGCTTTTAATAATTGGTATACTAATCTCATTTGAGATACACCTGTTAAAACTTTAATGACTTAAGCGGCTTAAGCTAAAGCACCCTTATAAGTCACCCGAACCGCAAGATTATTACTGTCCATTGTTGGCATAATGTAGCTGTGAACTGAGTTAAGTAATACAATAGCCACTTGACTTATAAGGGTGGTTTGGCTTAAGCCGCTTAAGTCATAAAAGTTTTAACAGGTGTATGTCAAATGAGGTTACTATACACAAATCTTAAAAATAAGATGATTGCGTTTTTTTTTATGAATCCTTGGTTACCAACTGAAGAAAACTGAAATAACGTGGCAACGCCGCACAGGAATTTCAAAAGTAAAGTATGATTGTAAAACCTAGGAAAAGGCTAATGAGAATATGTAGAAATATATAGGGTTGTCTATTAAAAAAAAACTAGGATTTTATTATGTCTCAAAAACAAAACACTGTATAATCGAAAATAATTTCAATGTACGGTACTCAAAAATCCCTACAACTAACTTCTCTGACTTTTCTTCTATTACCAATAATTAATGAGATATCGACGACAGCATTTAGCGACTCACCCTGTATGTGTACAGAACATTTCATTGCAATTAAACATTAAAATTATTACTGATCTGTAAAAATAAATAACAACAATGAATTTAAATAAACTTTTTTGGGACCTTTGTGACAATATTTGTTGAAAGTTGAAATTATCTTAATTTCATCAACGATTCGACGTGTTCCCTTCATCAGGAAATTTCTATTGTGACACTTATTTTAACATTAAGTTGGAATTCCATCAAATTTTTCTGTTTCCTAGGTAACAAATTCCAAAATTATTTTAGTTTTAACCAATTTTTAATAATCTTTCTGGTAAGAATACAAATAATTTGTTAATCTAATGTTAATACAAGCCACTATCCTGCAGAAATCTCCTGATGAAGGAAACACGTGTTCCGAAACGTTGATGAAACTAAGATATCAATAAATATTGTCAAGAAGGAGTCTAAAAAAGTTTATTACCTAACAATATGGACGTAAAAAAACAAAAAAGCACTTTTATTCCAATAGAACAAAAAAACATTTTAGTAAATTTCTCTAAAACAGCCACTGTTTCTTGACGGCATTAACAAAAATTTAAACAAATCTAAAAATTGCCAGTGTATCCGCCACACACTGCTAAAGACTTTCAAGATATACGGAAAAAAGATTTAAATATTTTTGTAACCCGACTTTTTAACAAATGAGGTGATAAGCAAGCTTTGAAATTTAATGTTAAAAAAATTATGTTGACAACACCACGTGCTCCTTGATCAGTTTGACAGTTACGGTCAAAAAACTGTCAAATAAACGTAAATAAATTTCATGGCCCACTAGAGAACTTTTTTTGGAAGTTGTGAATTCTAAAAGTTTCTAAAAATTTGAGTTTGTAAGTATAATGTGTCAAGGAATAAAGTGTTTTTACGACTCTGACTCCTTTACTACCCTTATCAACGCATAATACAGCGACTCTTTGTCAAGTTTGCCCGACACACCTATCTGTTCTTTGTTTGCAAATAGGGACTTGGAAAAGTCAAAATCATAAAACCATTATATTCCTTGGCATCCTATACGTACAAGAAAGGATAACTGGTGTTTTTTCATTCTTTAAAAAATCAACGAAAGTTATCAAAAACCATAAAGACTATAAAATAAAAGTGAGAAAAATAGATATATCAATAGCATTGCTTTTAGTATTTATTTCAAAAAAATTGCAACTCTAACTGGTGTCGGCCTGGAATTTGTAGTACGAATAACACTGATATATAAACCAAAACTTTTTTTAGATTTTTAACACGTATTTTTTTGCAAAATTTTATAATCAGAAAATGTTGCAAAATAGTACATTTACACGAAATAAATTATTATTATTATCATTTTTGCAGTGATATAAAATTCAAATAGTCAGTGATAAATTAACTATAAATTATTAAACTAAAAGAAAATTTCATGTAATTTATTGAACGCGCTAGAAAAAAAAATGGTTGCAGATTTAGAATTAGCATGTCCAAATTGTCTTCCTTTTTGTTTTTCTTAATGACTGAGTCAAAATAAGGTGCGATAGAATATTTATATGCACCATAACTGTAATGGCAAAAAATTTACAGTTAACAAATTTACGACTTTGACTTTTTTTCTCGTTCTAAACATAATTAATCTAAAATCTTGATATGGAATCCGGATTAATCTTATCTGGACTGAAAAAATTTGATTTTTAAGCAATTTTTTATTTCAGGGTTCAAACTTTAGAATTTACAGGCAGTTCACACTAAATTACTTAATTTCGAAAAACAAAAAATTAATGTATTTAAATATTTGCACAAAGGTAAGTATTATTTCTATTTGTTTAAGTTATGGATCTTAACATTCGTGGGCAAAAGTGGTTCTAGCTAATTTTACTACACCGCAAAAACTAATTAGTCAGTTAACATGACTTGTCGCAACATACTTATATTTACCAACCATCGTCATCCGAAATTTCTTACATAATATATTTACCTGTGGAATCATCGGAGTAATGTGAGCCGTTTATGTCCAATGTGTCATCAAAACAAACTTCTTTGGATGACTCATGCGAATCCACATGTAGCAAACAGCCTGCTTCGTTCTGGAAACTCCACATTTGGCCCAGATTCGCTTGCAAGTTTCCATTGTTGTAACTCAAGCACTTCCTCTCACCTTCGCTGAATTCATGCCGACTATGCCCTCTCTGGTACGAAAAATAATCCTGAAAATTCTGGTACGAAGCAGACGCTACAGGTACTTCGTTGTTCCCGGGGTCAAAATCCACAAAACTATCCGGATCGAAATATTCAGTGGATTTGAGGTAGTTCGGCGAAATGTAGCTCGTATATTTTGGATACGAGAAGTAATTGATCATTTCGCTGTTGTAAGTGTGTAAAGGGTTTAAAAGCGTTTTCGCAAGCTCAGGTGAAAAGCTCTCCGTTTCAGTTTTAATGGCGTTGATGAAATGCATAGCGTCGTAAAGTGGATGTAATACGTGAGTTAATTAAACTTCCACAAACAAATTTTCACACACGCACTAATAAAACGATCTAGTTCGAGATGTGTGAATTTCTGTTGGGACATCTCATTTACATGAGACACACTTGTGTGGAGCCAATAAGACGGTTTTTCGGAGTGGTTGAAGGAGGGGCCTTCTCGCTTCAAATCGTCATTGGGTTGTATTATTATTACTGGATGATTTATTACGAGATGATTTTGTCGCACTGTAGCGTACAAAGGAGTTATTGTAACTGCGATAGTTTTGCTACTGTCATTGCGATAATACCTAGTTATTGATATTTTTTCAACATAAAATAATTTCTCTTAGTAGCCTTAATTTTTGCAGTGAAATGTTGAAAAATCAAATTACAGTTCATACAATACGAAAGTGTGAATTTACAATTGTCTGTTTATTCGTCGCTATAGCAACTGATATCGCTGACTAATTATATTATATTCTTATAAATTAAAAAAATATATATAAAATTTAAGCCAGCTAATACTTTGTTCTTTTTTGTGTAAAAAAACTTCTGTTAAAATTTAACTTCTCATTCTCTTCTTAATAAAGGTACCATATGATCGAAAAAAGTCATCTAGTAGGCCATTTTTTGTAATGATGTTGGCATTACAGTTGTTTGACAATTTAATTGACAGTTACTTGACCGTATAACAGGTCAAACCGAGCAAGGTACGTTGGTGTTGCCAACATAACTTTTTTAATATTAAATTTCAGAGGTTGCTAGACCACTTTTGTTTGTCTCGATCGTATGATTGTAATACTGTAAGAAAGTCCACTGGGCGAACGACGAATTTTATGAAGTTTCACATGTAAAATTTTGTACAGTAAATTTTATTTCAAGTTTACGAAATAATGTATATCTGAGATTTATTATTCCCACTTCTATTTTATGGAAAATAAGGCAAAAATTACTATCAATATTGTAAATTCTTGTTCAGAATTAATCTGTTTATCCTTTCCACAACCTTAAACTCAAAATTTTACTGACTAAATCAAATGCAATTTATAGTGTGATGATGTGACGGCGATTCCGAAGATTGTCTACAATTTGACACCAATTCTCAGTCTGTTGAGTCCATTTTAACTATTTTTTGGAAAATTTTGAAAATTGTAAACTCACTTTCTGCATTGATTTGAATAGATATCGTGACGGCGCTTTCGGATTCATAATTGGCGGAAGATTGTCTACAATTTGACACCAATTGTCGGTCGATTGAACTCATTTTAACCATTTTTTGAAACATTTTGAAAATTGTCAATTCACTTTTCACGTTTATTTGAATAGATGAAGTCGTGACGGCAATTTCGGATTCGTAATTAGTGGAAGATTGTCTAGAATTGACACCAATTCTCAGTCGATTGAACCCATTTTAAATTGTTTTTTGGTAAAATTTTGAAAATTATAAACTCACTTTTCATGTTTATTTCACCACGTCGTGACGAAGATTTCAGATTTATAATTAATGGAATAATATCTGCAGTCTGACACTACTAATTCTCAGTCGATTGAAACAATTTTAGCCCATCTTTTTTAGAAAAATTTTAAAAATTATAAACTCACTTTTCAGGTTTGTTCAAATAACTGTCGTGACGGCGATTTCGGATTTGTTATTAACGGAAAATTATATAGAATTTGACACGAATTCTCAGTAGAGTGAACCCATATTTTCCATTTTTTCGGAAATTTTTTGTAAATTGTTGTAAACTAACCTCCCACGTTTATTTGAATAGATATAACGACGATTTCAGATTCATAAATGGCGGAAGATTATCTACAATTTGACACCAATTCTCGGTCGATTGAACCCATTTTAACCTTTCTTTTTGGAAAATTTTTGAAAATAAAAATTCATTTTTTACGTTTAATTCAACAAGTGTAGTGATTACAGATTCGTATTTAGCGGAAGATTATCTACAATTTAACATCAATTCTCAGTCAATCGAACCCATTTTACCAATTTTTTGAAAAATTTTGAAAATTATAAATTCATTATTCAGGTTTATTTGAATAGATGATGTTGTGACGCGTGACGGTGATTTCGGATTCGTAATTAACAGAAAATTATCTAGAATTTAACACCAATTCTCAGCAAACTGAACCCATTTTTCCACATATTTTGAAAAAATTTTGAAAATTGTAAACTCACTTTTCACCTTTATTTGAACAAAACTGGTGACGACCATTTCAGATTCGTAACTAACGGAAGATTATTTATAATTTCACACCAATTTTCAGCCGATTGAACCCACTTTAACCACTTTTTTGAAAAAAATTTTGAAAATTGCAAACTTACTTTTCACGTTTATTTGAATGGATATTGTGACACCGGTTTCACATTCGTAATTAGTGGAAGATTATCTAGAATTAACACCAGTTCTCAGTCGATTGAACCCATTTTAAATTGTTTTTTGGAAAAATTTTGAAAATTAGAAACTCACTTTTCATGTTTATTTCAACAGATGTGACAACGATTTCAGATTCGTAATTAATGGAAGATTGTATACAATTTAACACCAATTCTCACTTGATTGAACCCATTTTAACCACTTTTTTGCAAAATTTTGAAAATTGTAAACTTACTTTTCACGTTTGTTTAAATAGATATCGTGATGGCGATTTCCGATTCGTAATTAACAGAAAATTATGTAGAATTTGACACCAATTCTTAATAGAATGAACTCATTTTTTCCAATTTTTTTTGGAAACATTTTTAAAACTATAAACTCACTTTACACGTTTATTTTAACAGATGTCGTGACGACCATTTCAGATTCGTAATTAGCGGAAGATTATTTGCAGTCTAATATCAATTTTCAGTGGATTGAACCCATTTTAACAATTTTATTTTAAATTTTGAAAATTGAAACTCACTTTTCAGATTTATTGAAATAGATGTTGTAACGGAGATTTCGGATTCATAATTAGCCAAAGAATATCTAGAATCGGACATTAATTCTCAGTCGCTTGACCCATTTTAACATTTTTTTTTTGGAAAAATTTTGAAAATGATCACTTTTCACGTTTATTCAAACAGATGTCATGACTCTGATCTCGTATTCGTTATTAAAGGAAAATTATCTAGAATTTGGCACCAATTCTCAGTAGCAAGCCATTTTTTCAATTTTTTTTGGAAACATTTTGAAAATTGTAAACTCACTTCTCACGTTTATTTGAATAGATATCGTGACGGCGATTTCGGATTCGTAACGGATGGAAGATTGTCTACAATTTTACATCAATTCTCAGTCGGTTCCAATGGAACCATTTTTTTTTGGAAAAATTTTGAAAATTACAAACCCACTTTTCACGTTTGTTCAACTAGATGTTGTGACGGCAATGTCGGATTCCTAATTAACGGAAAATTACCTAGAATTTGACACCAGTTCTCAGTACAGTGAGGCAATTTTTTTCATTATTTTGGAAAAATTTTGAAAATTGTAAACTAATTTTACACATTTATTTGAATAGATGTCGTGAGAACGATTTCAGGTTCGTCACTGGCAGACGCTTATCTAAAATTTGATACCAATTCTCAGTCGATTGAACCCATTTTAACTATTTTTTTTTTTTTAATCTTTTGTAGATTATAAACTCACTTTTCACGTCAATTTCAACAGATGCCGGGACGACCATTTCACATTCGTAATTGGGGAAAGATAATCTACAATCTGACACTAAGTCTCAGTCGTTTGAACCCAGTTTAACCTTTTTTTTTTTGGAAAAAATTTGAAAACTATGAATTCACTTTTTACGTTTGTTCAAATAGATGTCGTGACGGCGATTTCGGATTCGTAATTAGCGGAAAATAACATAGAATTTGACACCAATTCTCAGTACAGTGAACCCGTTTTTTTAATTTTTTTGGAAAAATTTTGAAAATTATAAACTCACTTTTCACGTTTAATTCAACAGATGTAGTGACAACCTGACAACGATTTCTGATTCGTAATTAGCGGAAGATTATTTACAATCTGACACTAATTCTCAGTCGATTAAACCCATTTTAACTTTTTTTTTGGAAAAATATTGAAAGTTGTAAACTCACAATTTACGTTTAATTCAACAGATGTAGTGACAACGATTTCAGATTCGTAATTAGCGAAAGATTATCTACAATTTGACACTAATTCTCAGTCGATTCAACCCATTTTAACTTTTTTTTTGGAAAAATTTTGAATATTATAAACTCACTTTCCACGTTAGTTCAAATAAATGTCGTGACGGCAATTTTGGATTCGTAATTAAAGGAACATTATATAGAATTTGACACCAATTCTCAGTAGAGTGAACCCATTCTTTCCATTTTTTTGGAAAAATTTTGAAAATTATAAACTTATTTTTCAATTTTATTTGAGTGGATATCGTGACGACGATTTCAGATTCATAATCGACGGAAGATTATCTATGTACAATTTGACACTAAATTTCAGTCGATTTTAACCATTTTTTTTTTTAAATTTGAAAATTTTAAACTCACTTTTCATGTTTATTTCAACAGATGTCGTGATAACGATTTCAGATTCATAATTAGCGGAAGAATATCTACAATCTGACACTAATTCTCAGTCGATTGAACCCATTTGAACTTTTTTTTTTTGGAAAAATATTGAAAATTGTAAACTCACATTTTACGTTTAATTCAACAGATGTAGTGACAACGATTTCAGATTCGTAATTAGTGGAAGATTATCTACAATTTGACATAAATTTTCAGTTGATTGAAGCTGTTTTAACCTTTTTTTTTTTTTTTGAAAATTGAAACTAAATTTTCACGTTTATTGGAATAGATGTTGTAATGGAGATTTCGGATTCGTAATTAGAGGAAAAATATTTACAATCTGACATCAGTTCTCAGTCGATTGAACCTATTTTAAGCGACTCTTAAACTTACAAATCAATGTTTATTATAAAAAAAACTTTCCCGTCTGTACGAAAAAATGTTACAATTCAAGACTAAGAAATGAAAGTTCAACAAAAATGTAACGGAATAAAAAGATAATATGTATGAAGAGGGCGATAGTCTATCAAAAATTGGTCCTTTGTCTTTTAGACAACTTCTCTCATCCTTAAAATACACAAACAAATCCAGTTGCCAATTTTGTTTATAATATTTAGATTTTTGTTGAAACTAATGTCTCTCACTTTCAGAGCACAATTTTTGATCATCTGTTGGAGTTGACTTTAAACATTTTCCGGACA